GAGTATATTCGGTTAGGTTATAGATAATTAGAAGTGAAAATCAAAACTATGAAGAAATTCTATTTAGAAATATGAAGATTGACTGATAATCGATCTGATGGAGACATTCTATGATTCTGAAATAATACATCACAAAGATGTCTGAATACATAGAAAGCTTTAGATCACATTAGAATGTTACAAGAAGCTTTTCCTCTTTCTTAGTACCCTAAAAACTCAGAAATAAAGCTTGTTTATCTGTTATCTTCGAATTTCATCTTGTGAAATGTATTTTACATTAAATTTACATTTTTAAATCGTAATAATCTTTCTGCAGATTTATTTCATGATTCTAGTGCTCTTCAAATTACATTTTCTGTTGTCGTAAAAAGTATCATTTATTCCTTTATTTTTCTTTTATTTTCTAAAAATAAATGATTCATTTACATTTATTTTTTAAAAATAAATGATCATTTATCTTTATTTTTTAAGAGTAAAGGATTCATTTTCTTTTATTTTATAAAGTAAAAGTAAAGTACCACCCCTAGTTTCCATTGTTTGACATCAAGGTATAAACTTAAATTATGTAGCCATTTACTCGGTGTGCTCTATTCGTCACTCTATGATGGATTCATCTATTATTATGATGTACGATAGGAGACTATTACAGAAACTTACTTTTTCATGTTTACTTTAGTACTTTGATTGTGACTGTTTTCCTTTTCAAACATTAAAGCAGCTTGTTTTTTCAAAAGGATGCGCCGTTAAATTCTCTACAAAACTCAAGCTAAACCAACTTTAAAGAAAGCGAATAAGAAAATCAAAACTAAAGAATACTCGACATGTATTCTATGATTAACTTTCTAAACCATTTTACTCTAAATCTGAGATTTTTTCAGCGGTGCTTTGAACAATAGAGCACTGAAGATGTTTTGAATACTTGAACGGTTACCCTTTCTCATTGTGACATGTACAGGTGTTTTTGCGTCAAAATTAGCCACTGAAAAATTAAACTTTCTAAAAAGTCAAATCAAAATACCCAAAAAAATGCAATTTTTCACCAGATGAAGGTGACGACAAGGAATTGACCCCAGAACGGAACATATATAGGATTGTAGAGGAAGATGTGCTCCATCCAGTAGTGTGCTTATTATGAAATTCTATTGTGCACCATCCAAGAAAAATAGGCGAAAAGGTATAAATTCAATAGATTTTAGAGCTTTTCGTTACCAGAATCAAACAAGTAGTATACGATCAAGCTAAAATGTACTCCACTTATGTGAGTATCATTTCACGGTTCACGTTCTTTACTTTCACAGTTTGTATCACTCTTCTTGATACTCAAGCTATGTTGTATCTTATAAAAATTTAAATAATACATCCTATATTTTTTTTATAATGTTAGAAGAAACAGTATTTATACCTTAACAATTGGTATTTTGAAATATATTTCAATTATTCAAAATTAAGAAACTTTTCCTTTCTAAAACAATGATATGTAGAATAATTCTGTGCGAATTTATATTAAGCTTATCAATATTGTATTGAGACACGATTATTTTAAAATGTACATGATTCATAAGATCGCTATGATTTAAAGTTTTTTACTGCTATTTTTCTAATTTTTATTACGAATTTAACGACAAATTGAAAATGTTTATAGTAAGCATTATAATACCAAAAGATAATTTGAAAACTCAACAAATACACTGAACGAATACTAATATGAGAAAATTTTCGGTCTTTTTTGAGATCAGATTGTTTTTTACCAACATATGTATTATTGACACCCATTTATTAATTCATCATCAGTTGTTTCATCATCTATTGTTGTATCACTTGTCAATTCATCAACTGTTGTTGTCGCACCTGGGAATTCATTATCTGTTGTTGTATCACTATTTGTTGATTCATTGTCGGTTATTGATTCATCATCATTTTCTAATTCGTCATCAATTAATTCTTCATCTAATGATGTTAAGTTTTTGGTTTGATTCATTACTTTATCATCTTCTGGTGATGGATGTTTGATTTTATTTCTCTCTTTATATGTAGCACAATCTAAAACATTGATGAATAATGCCGTTGCTTTTTCCCTCGACTGAAGGGAGGGTCATATGAAAAAAACTGAAAATGGGTTTGTGTGTTTGTCGGGGTCAAAAAAACATCTATTTTAAGTTCTCTTCTATAAAGGTTGACGGAAGTAAATCGGGGTCGGGGAATCCGAATCTGAAATCAGATTTTCAAAATTTTGAACTGAATTTTTTGGGTCAAGGGAAGGGTTTTTTGAGAAAATAACG